AGCTAGCTATGTATCTATGTATGTATGTATGTATATATCTATCTATCTATGTATCTATGTATCTATCTATCTATGTATCTATCTATCTATGTATCTATTTACATCTAATAAGAATAATACAACATATACCACTGTTGGTAGTGGCCATGCTTACTAAATCATCTTAGTCTTTAGTTAAAAGCACTCTGAAAAAGAAAGCTAGAAAGACGTGGATTAATCATTTTGTAACTTTCAGATAGTTACACCATGGCGCTTGGTTCAGTGCTGCACAAAAGACCCAAGTCAGGCTGGTGTCACACGGGCCAGGACTTTTTGAGGCAACTGGAAAGGGAGAAACCATTTTCCCCTCTGGATGGGAACCTGGGAGGATATAAGCCTAGAGCTTCTGGGCCCACAAACAGAACAGTGCCTGTCAGAGAATGAAAGCAAAGTAGAGGGAGAGACACTGCATCCTACCTGCAGTGTTGAGGGCCTGAAGCTAGCAATTCCTGAACTTTTCAACACGTGAGCCTCAAATTCCCTTTTTCACTTTAGCCAGTCTGAGCTTCTATCCCTTAGAACCCAAATTATCGTGATTAATATATAGTCACCAGTGAAATGAAGGTACCACATAGAGCTTAAGATTGAATGACAGAATCCTCAGACAGCAGAAGCCTGCGCAGGAGTGATTCGGGGCGGGGGGCGGTGTATAGTAAGCACCCTGTGTCTCTGAATATGTGCTAGATGGCTGGGGAGAGGGCCTGTGACCTTAGACAGCCAAGCCCATGAGGTGGCATCTCCCTAAAGATGCCTCCAAGAAAGCAAAGGCTGAGGGATAAGAGATGGACAGCTGCAGGATGCTTTCCACCCTTCTGCTCCAAGCCCCACGGTTCACCTTCTGGCCTGAACCTGAATTCCCCGCCAACCTCACTCTAGGGCAGAAACAACTTGAGCTAGAAGTTCTGTCTGGTCATTGCTGGAAGGTGCAAGTTCTGGCCACGTTTTCATTCTCCCGTTCACGCCAAACACTGTTGCTATCTCTCTCTCCACAATAACTACCTGGTATTGGTGTCCCGGTTTACGTCCACTTGGAATTGAATCAGACGGTCTTTAAGATTTTGGGCTCGTTCACAGAGGTCATAATTTAGGGTCATGGTGTCAAGGCAGAACATGGCCAAAGGCACGGTAATGTGCATGGATGCAATTTCATTTCTCCGCTTTTTGATGCTACTGATCCTCTGTAGAAAGGAACACAGTCGGTAGCTTGATTTGCCTTTAGCCAACATGCACTTGCCCCCAGCCTCACCCCCAGCCAACCTAGTCCAATGCTGAGCACAACATACACACTAACAAAATACACGGACTACGTAGTGGATTGTCTGCAGTACGTGTCACCAAGATATGAAATATCAAGTGATATTTCCTACCGTCACAAAATCCTCAATTTCATGGTTTTCTTTCAGGAACGCGGTGATGTTTTGTTCTGCCATGTTATCCAATAAGTCATCATACTTTTTGTATACATTTAAGTATCTTCCATAATCGAAGAGCATAAAATCAGACATGCAAATACAGGTCACCAAATCAGATTAGGAAGAGTGGCAAATGAAGACATAAGATCATAAAAATTAGCCCAAGCCAGCAAAGGGAAATAGAATGTGGCAACAAGTATAGTAAACTGGGAATTCAGAACTTTGGCTTCAAATTCCAATTTTGCCACCTCCTAGCTGCATGAACTTAGGCAAGATATTTCTCTTTTCCAAAGATCAGTCTGTTTAGTTTTAAGTGGAAATAGTAATACCTCATAAGACTGTTGTAAGGCTTACCTATAATAATGTACATATAAAGCATCTAATACAATGCCTGATATACAGTGAATATGCAGTAAACATTAGTTCCTATCACTTCTTCCAGCTCTAAAATTCTGTCTAAATTTTAAGATGAAAATTTGGAACTAGTGAACCTAAAAATTTATTGGATAAAATTAAGTTTTCCCTTCTTATCAGATCCTGCAAAAATGGCTGGACAGATTTCTCCCAAATTGGAGGATGTATTTGGGATGCTGTGACTTAAAATAAGTTTGAATTAGGGGCGCCTAGCTGGCTTAGTTCGTGGAGCATGTAACTCTGCATCTCAGGATTATGAGTTTCAGCCCCACGTTGGGTGTAGAGATTACTTAAAAATGAAGTCTTTTTAAAAAGTTTGAATTAAAATAAAGATGATATGGGGGCACCTGGCTGGCTCAGTCAGTAGAGCATGCGACTCTTGATCTTGGGGTCATGAGCTCAAGCCCCACGCTGGGCGTGGAGCCTACTTGAAAAAAATAAAAATAATAAATAAAATAACAATAAAATGAAATAAAGATGATAATGGAGTAAGCAGAATTAGTTTTGTGGGGGCCCAGTGGTGATCAGGGGACATTTGGCCACATCTGGGGATGTTTTTGGGTGTAATGACTGCAGGAGGATCCTCCCGGATCTAATGGGTATAGGTCAGGGATGCTGCTAAACATCCTACCATACACAGTAGCTCCTCACGATACAGAGTTTTCTGGTCTAAAATGTTGACAGAGCCACGGTCAAGAAACCCATGTATCCTGGTTTGCCTGGGACAGCCCAGATTTACACTTGTTGTCCCACGGTAGTTGTTAATAAAGCCCTCTTCGCTCTCAAAGTGTCTCAGTTTGGAAGCTGTATTATATGATACCCCTAAACTAGGGACTGCTCACATGAGCAACTGTGAGATATTCTACAGTAGGGTGATTAAGGAGCATTCAGATAACTTGTCCTCAATCCCCTTTAATTCCTAAATCCAAAAAGCTCTGAAAACAGACAGCTGCTTCAAAATTCATTTGATGGCAAAAGCTGGCCTAAACCAATGTGAGGCTACTTGGGTGAATATTCATATTGTTCACTATAGAAATATCAACACATTTAATTAAGAGGAGCTTCCTGAGATCTTGCTGAAGCTGCATCATCAGGTATGATATATGCATTACGCGTGACTTTTCTAAAATCCAGAAATTTCTAAATGCCAAAACCTGTCTGGCCTAACATCTTTCAGATAATGGAGGTGCACCTGTAATTGAATCTGAATTCTGGCTCATTTATTTATTTGCTGTGTAATATTGGGAAAGCTTCCTCATCTGTAAAATGGGGATAAATAGTAATACCTGTGTAAGTATTGGCTATTCTTACTATGTATGTGTTTCTGATGTGTGGGAACAGTGATCGTGTATTTGATGACAAACAAACCAATACCCAAATGGTCAAATTACAACTAAACCAACTTACTTGTGGGGCCCAACTTGATTTTTCTGATACACCTCAAAGGTTTGATCCACAAAATCAGAAACTAGTTTTTCTTCAGTGTTAATGGTTCCAAGAATCAGATTATAGCCTTTCAACTCTGGGAACAGGACAGATTCCACCTAAAGAACAGAAACCACTTTTGATGTCACAAGACTTCAGACACAAGAAGGGAAATGCCACCAAAATGTAAAATCTTTTCAACAAACACATTTCCAGGGATACCAGCTACCTTTTCACTCTTTTTCCTCTTGGATAGTGCCAGAATCACCCTCCTGTTCTCTTTATCTCTACCCTCTCTCCTCTCCCTGGTTTTGGGTTACTCATCTTTCCCTCATCCTTTCAAGTCTCTGGTCCATGGAGAATCCCCTTGGGCCTCCAGTTAGGATGTTAGGTTTCCTTGCTTAAAGTTCACATTCTGAACTTTTCCCACACAGCATAATCATAATTAAATAATGTATAATGAGCTTATCTGGGTTTGTCATGGGATTAAATACCATGAGGGCGTGGATCGAATCTGACTTCTTCAGTATTGTGAAGGGTCCAACAAGAGCTTGGCACATAGTAAGTGCTCAATAAATACTGTGTGACTGAATGAATATTACAGCAATGCTCCCTGTCCCCCACCCCCATCAGATTTTACTAATGAAAAACTACTAGAGACACGAGTTCTAATTCTGATTCTGCCACTAACTAACCATGCGACCTTAGCTATTTCTTCTCTCTGAACTTCCATTTTCTCATCTGAAGAAAAGGAGAGATACTAGATGCTTCTCTCACCTCAGCGGAAAAAAAAATCTATGGCTTTACAGTCATGAAGCTAGAACAGTTTCTTTTCTGATAATTCAAGTTCTCTAACTTCTTAATGGCATGTGTGTGTCCCTGAGAAATGTTCTCACTTGCATGACTCATGAAGACGTCCAAGTCCCTGCTGGGGACCCACTGCCCTCCCTGTTAAGAAAGCTGATAGTGATTGGTCTCAGAAAAGACTGTCAGAGGGCACTACTTGGTGACAACAGTTATATACCATGGATGAGAATGCACTGATTTAGAAAGGGGGAAAAGCTAGTGCGAATAGTCTGTGTCCTCCCTCTTTGGACAATCCGAAGGTTTTTAAGCCAGTGGAGGGACAACTTCTTAGCTGTGGCCATGCTGAAGACAGTGGTTGAAAGCAAAGATATGGAGGAACTGGCATTCTGGTACATCTGGGCCATGCAAGAGATTACATGTGGGGAGCATAAGGGACTGTTTCTTGGGAAGAAGTCTTCAGATGAAAGAGGAAGTAACACCTTTTATTGCCCTTTAAATGTGGCTGGTAGAGCAGTCTGTAAAACTAAGATGAGATCAATGGTGTCTTTTCCAGATAATCACGGTTACCATCTGCTGATCTCCCTGGCTCTCCGGTCCCTGACTTCCTGGTCTTGTCATCACCCTCAGTGCTTACGCCTGCACACTTCTCCAAGTTTGGGATTTCCCTGGCACTTTGAGTGAGAAAGTTCTCCCATCAGTAGAGAGACTGGCCCAAGTAGCCCCTTTCCACAGAAATGTGTGTGTGTGTGTGTGTGTGTGTGTGTGTGTGTGAGTACGTATTTCTGATTATGAAAGTAATGCATTGACATGGCTGCTAATGCTAATTTAAATTTTTTTTAAAGATTTTATTTATTTATTTGACAAAGAGAGCATGAGAGAGCACAAGCAGGGGGAGCAGCAGATGGAGAGGGAGAAGCAGGTTCCCTGGTGAGTAGGGCGCCCAAGGCGGGGCTTGATCCCAGGACCCTGGGATCATGACCTGAGCTGAAGACAGAGACACTTAACCTACTGAGCCACCCAGGCACTCTGATTTAAATTTTCCTTATTGCATTTTTAGCTTTAGAAAACCCTTCCTTATTTCACCCCACCTCATTTTATTTATGCCTCTCATTCTCCTCTTTTCATTTCAATCAGTATTACAACATCCATGTTTCAATTTTTTTGCTAAGACAAGTATTTTCTAATATTTACTTTGGTTTCCTTTAGTAACCTTCTCATAAATAGGCTTCCCTTCTGCACCTTGAAACTGTTATTTTCAAAACCTCATGCTGACATTTTGTCCAACTTTTAAAGTTTATGTTTAGGGGGGTGCCTGGCTGGCTCAGTCGGTGGAGCATGGGACTCTTGATCAAGAGCCAAGATTGTGAGTTCAAGCCCCACGCTGGGTGTAGAGATTACTTAAAAATAAAACCTTAAAAACAAATAAATAAAGGGGTGCCTGGGTGGCTCAGTCGTTTAAGTCTGCTTCTCCCTCTCCCTCTGCCCCTCCCCCCACTCGTGCTCCCTCCCTCACTTGCTCTCAAATAAATAAAATCTTAAATAAATAAAATAAAATGTATATTTAACCATAAAAAAGGCAGGTCTGGTAGGGGTTGGGGATACTGTCTACCTGTTGCTGTTCTTAGATATATATATATTTTTTTAAAGATTTTATTTATTTCTTTGACAGAGAGAGACACAGCGAGAGAGGGAACACAAGCAGGGGGAGTGGGAGAGGGAGAAGCAGGCTTCCTGCCAAGCAGGGAGCCCGATGTGGGGCTC